CTCTTCCATTACATGCGTGCGATATATATAAATATATAAACTATGTTACATGCGTTATATGCGTCTCTAATTATTTTTCCCTAGCAAATTTCAATTGAACCTAAAGCTGCCACGTCAGTTTAATTGGTATGCTAATTGATTGACAACTAAGCAAGGTTACTTTTAAATTAATACAAACTTGAGGTTACATCTTTTCAAATGTTTCTCAATTAATATATAGGGGATGTGATAGTTTGAAATAATTAACTATAGGATAAATATGTAAACTAAAAAAATATTGCGGTGTATAGAAAAGTCACATAAACACTTTAAAAGATGGTAAATGTACAAATATTTGTCATCTACTCTACTAAAATAGAATCATTCTTTTTACCTACGAATACAAGTTGTCATTTAAATTTGGACTCTTTCTAGAGTGTTACAAATAATGCAAGTCATATTGGAAATTGAACCGCACTACTTAAATTAAACCGGTGGTTATTTATGGAATATAGTTTTGGGCTTATTTTGGTTTTTATGACAAATTATATTGTTTGGATTTTGGGCTTAGTATTCAGGAAAAACTCCAAATAACATTGAATAAACTTTCTACTCTAATGGATTAAAAAATAAATTATTATTTTTAGGCCCAAAGATATTTAATGTTTTTAGCAAAACAAATTGTCTATTATTAATCATTTATTTAAATCATGTACTTTAAAACATGTTAATGTATTTTTTATTTTAAATAACAATCACTCTATTTTGATAAATTTCAATGGTAACTTTTAAATAATTTAATGTTTTATTTTTCTTAGATAATTTAATGATTAAAATAAAAATAAATGTAAAGCAAAACCAAAAACCAAATCTATAAACTAAAATCCAAAACCAAAAAGATGAAAACGCATGTTATATTTTTTTTGCTTTTGTTTATTTACATATAAACTATTGCAAATTTTTTTGAAATTATTTTTGTCATCTTTTCAGTTTTAAATTGAGAATTCGGCGAAAAAAAACACCAACTTTGCACGAATTGCCAAAGAAACCTGAACTTTTGGGCTGACCAAAAAAAACATAAACTTTTCATTGACTTTACAATTAATTAACAGTGTTTTCTTTGACTTGCCAATTTGTTACGTCGTCAGCAAATTTAACAGAAAAAATTAACGTCGTTAATTGTTGACGTTAGGTTGAAAAGACGTCGTTTTAAGCGATTTGAAAATAAAAAGACGTGATCACTGGATTCAGCCCGGGTTGATTGGATCAAATGACAAGGTAGTTTACTACTAGGCTAGTGGCACATTCAATGTATCTAATAACACATTTACTAATATTTAGTACTGATTGAATATAAAAAAAATTCTATAAAAACTTTAAAAAAATCTTTAAAATTTCAAAAAAAAATTAAAAAATAAAGATTTTTTTATAAAATTAATTTTGAAATTAAAATTAAAATAAAAAATTTTATTTTTATTTCAGAAAATCAGAAATATTCAAAAATTTTATTTTGAAGAAAAGTAAAATTTTATTTTAATTTTAAGATTATTTCTTAAAAAAATTCTTTATTTTTTCATTTTTTTAAAATTTTAAAGATTTTTTAAAGTTTTTATAGAATTTTTTTATATTCAATCAGTACCAAATATAAGTAAATGTGTTAATAGATACATTGAAAGAAAAATAAAATTTTATAAGTTCCCGTCTGATTTTTTTAAAGAAAAAAAAATTTATTTTTATTTTAATTTCAAAATTAGTTTTATACAAAAATTCTTTATTTTTCATTTTTTGAAATTTTAAAGATTTTTTAAAAGTAAATGTGTTAGTAGATACATTGAATGTGCCACTAGCCCAGTGATAAACTACCTTGTCATTTTATCCAATCAACCCAGGTTCGAATCCAGAGGTCTACGTATTTTTATTTTCAAATCGCCTAAAACGACGTCGTTTCATCTCAATTGAAAACAACGTCGTTTCATCTTAACATCAACAACTAATGTCCGAGTTACCACCGTCTTAACTGCTCGTGAACGATGTGTTAAAATGGCGAGTCAATCGTAAGTTTCTTAATAAACTAATAAAGTCAACAAAAGTTCATCTTTCTTTTGGTCAGACTCGAGTTCATGTTTCTTTTGGCCAAACTCGAGTACATGTTTCTTTTGACCAGACTCGAGTACAGGTTTCTTTTCGCAATTTGTGCAAAGTTGGTGTTTTTTTGGCTGAATTCTCGTTTTAAGTTAGATGTTTATTTATTTGGGATTTGTTTGTTGGTAATATCAGTTTAAACTAACTCAGCAGATCTAAAAATTAAAAACTCAAACCAAAAGCTGAAAATAAAAAATAGAAGCTTAAAAACTAAAAACCAAAAACCAGAATCTAAAAATAAAAACTGAAACTAAAGACTAATGAAAAACAATCATCACCACAAATTTTGGTGAACTGATTTTATACCAAAACATTCTTTAAATTAAAACAAAACCCAATTATATAAAACTTTAATCATAAAAATTTCCACGCTATAAAAGCGTGGATTAAAATGTAGTTAATAAAAAAAAAGATCTCTACAAATAAAAGCCAAAAAACACCAGGTGAAAGTCTAATTTATTTTTTTAGTTTTGCATTCACTCAGTTGGCAGTTTTTGTCTTCATAATATTCCTTCACCTTGCTCCGTAATTATCTAATTGCAAATATTAATTTTTCTTTTTATATTTTTCTAGTTTAGATATTGGTTTGTTTCTCTACTGATCAAAACTAACAATAAAAAGGAATAAGAAACAAGAATTTTATATTGATAGTAAGCAATATATGAAAGATTTAGAGAAATCTTCAGATTTTTACTGCAAAAGGTTGGTCCCATATTTATAAATTTGGAATATGTTTTGTTTTTCTACATTCATAGAATGAGAAGAATACTAAACTGAATTTTCCGGTAGAACAAGCAACAACAATAAGGGGACAAATTTCACTACCTACCTTTGAGTTTCCATGGCTATATTATGTAACACCTCTGAAAGTTGTAATGATTGGTTGGTTTTGCTTCAGGAGGAAGTAGTCGCCGGATGACTTTACTCTCGGGTAAGTCGCACAGGTTTGTTTTGTAGATACACAACCTCTCTGTCTGCTGGGTTTATGAGATGTTGCTCTGATCCTTCTTCATTATCATCTGACACAGAAGATGCCTCTGAGTTTGATTCATCCTCATCTACATTCGAAAAGCCATTGTAGATTTGCTTTTTGCTTTTTGCTTTTTTTTTATCACAAAAAGAGTATCACTAAAAAACTCTCTTAATAAGGAGATGAGCTTACCAGAGAACTCAAGGCGTTCAGAAGGAGCACTAACAGCTGTGAGCTGAATGCTTTCTGGTAAAAGACAATTACAGAAGGAACCTGAAAACACAACAAAAGGAGACGATTTGTTTTGGTTGAAAACAACACAAATGGAGAAGTTTGTAATCTTTTTACCTAATCGGGCAAGGCGATTGATCCATCCTGGAATAGGCTTTCCGGTAAGTTGCAAGCAAACTTCTTCAGTGAAATGGTTACAGTTCTTGGCAATCAAATGGTAAGTGTCACCATGATACTTTGATGAAAGCTTCTCCATGTAAGAGCGGAAATCAGAAGGGGACATGGTTGTAGTTCCCAAGAGAAGAGAGCGTCTAAAGATGAACCCTGGACAGTTCTTAGGCTCAACCTCATATACCCCGCTCGAGGAATACTCGTGAGCTCCATAGCAGTATTCCATACCATGAGCTACAATGGAGTTGAGAAACGCTGTCTTAAAAAAACATAAAACAGAGCAATGAAGAGAATACTCATAAACATAATACCCTCAATTCCAGAGTGGAAAATGCCGATGCCAAACCAATAGAGGTAATCGTTGACAGGGGTTAGATCATAGACATTGAGATAAACCGGTGTTAATCCGGCTACCTCTCCACTCTTCTCATCACTAATAGGCACCCACATTTTTACAAACAACCTGCAGTGTTTTCAATTCAAAAGGCAGCACCGAATCATCCCTTTCTTCCTAAACCTCTGCAACATACGATAATCAAATGTTCGATGAAGATCATTCGAATTGAAACAAAAAAACAATCCAAAGGAAAACTTGTTTAGCAGCTAATGAGAACAGATCCAAGGATTTGGAAGACTTTCAAAAGTATCTAAACCTATCGAGCAAGAAATGAATAGAAGGCTGGTCGGTCTTTGTAGAAAACCTAACGCATATCGCTCGAATTGCAAATCGGGAAAAGGCGGTTCTCCGTGCGTCTTCGTCTTATAACATTCATAGACAAAGACGAAGGGGAGGATAAAAGAGAGCTTACGTGTGACGACGCTTTGAGGATTCCGAAGAAGGGATTTGGGGAGAAAATGATGACGACTTTGATCGACAACAACTGTTACTTTTTTTGTTTCTCGCGATTTTCCTTTTCGCTTTTTTTTTTCTCTCTCTCTCTCAAATTTATTTAAGAAGTAGACGAGATAACCCAGAAGAATTGATCACCAATTAAAAAGTGCAGTAACATTAAAACTCGATTTATGCATACTCATAAAGAATTCTAATTTCTCCCACCAAAATCTCTATAATATTATTTGAGAAGTCCGTTTCCTACGTGTCGCGTTCACGTTAAGTCTCGCGATGGTTGATTATATAGATACCCTTAATGAATTATTTGATTTTAAGATTATTACTAGATTTTGACCCGCCCTTAAAGAGGGCGGGACAACCGTTTTTGTTTTAAATTTATGTCCTTGTTTGATTATTCACAAGTATGTATAGACATGAGTATCCGAGTTCAGATAAATTGTCGTTAATAATTTTGGTTTGGTCCAACATATACAGATTAAATACGATTACATACGATTTAATGTGTGGTATAAGATTGATTTTTCTTATTCCTTTTAGTTAGATAACAAATTTTAGAGACCCGATGAAATTCTGAGTTCTATTCGATAATCTAAAGTATTGATTTGTAATCCTTTATATACTAAAGCGCAAGTCGCTTGATCAATAAGAATTTGACATGTGTAATTTTTTACAATTTTAAAATTTTAAAAATAAAACTGTTTTTAAAAAGTAAAAATTGTAAAATGTTCAATTTTGTATCACGTTTGTTTGATTTAAAATGTTTAGTAACTGCAAAAAAGATCATGTTTTTTTTCTGTAACTATCATCATGGCACGTTCAAAAGTTAAGTAACTGTCAATATTAACTGTTTATATCTCCTCTATAACATACAATCAACAAAAAGTTCTGTATTTTTTCTCCTCTCTTCTTCTCTATCGATTCATCTTCTTCTTCTTTTTTCTGTTTTGAGTATAAGAAATATTGTTATTCTAATGCATAATGTATTCTTCTCTTAAGAAAAACAATTCTCTATGATTGCTTCTTCATAATTACAAGTCGAAGATTCTATCAGATTTTACGAAGGATCTTTTTCAGAGTACTACTATCAGACATGAAGTGATTTTCAATATGAAAATCTATATTCTTGTGGACAAAGGTAAACACATTTACATTTGTAATTCTGATGTATAAAACTGTTTAAAATGAAGCTCAGTTTTGTATATAATTTTTATATAGCAAGGAAATAGAAATCAAGATTTTGGTGAAACAAAACATGATAGAATTTAAAAAAGAATTACAAAATGAGAATGCTGTTAATTTCTCTGATGTCATATAAGTGAGGTTCCGCAGGGGAAACAAATTCCAACTTAAATACTTAGTGTTTATGTATATTTTATTCTAAAGTTTTTTAACTTTACTAATTTACCTATGATTTTTCTTTTGCAGATATATAAGTAGGATCTAAAAAAGTGTGTGCAGGTAAATATTCATTTAAGAGATTATAGTGACAATTTACACATATTTGAAATACAGTAAAATTGATTGAGCCGTGCTAAGCACGGGAGTCATACTAGTAGTTTATATTTTGAGTTCAAACTTATTTTTTATAAAAAAATAAATATTTTTAGGGTACTATTATAAACAATTTGGTTGATATTATTGTCATATAAAATAAATAGAGATACAACCGACTATTTATTTTAAAAATTATGGTCATAAAAATTGACATTGTATTATATAGACGGTATGTGTTTAAAAATATGATTAACAAAACAATTATATAAGAAAATAACATAAAAATTAAAAATACAACTGTGAATGATTATTGCAAGCCCGTAAAGAAATCAATACATCATATTAACGACCCAAGCCCAACACAAATATACCGACAATATATCTTCAATATATCTTGGACATGCGACTACCACATATCTTTCCAAGAGGGGGATATATTTTCTTTATAAATTGATTCATACGAAACAAAGATTTGATAATTATAAAATTTCATGTGTTAAAATTTTCCAACTTAATACATTTATAATTGTGTTGAGCAGTGTTATCATACTCGACACGGGTTTGAGAGTAAGCAACTAAACTTAGTGATATGTATATATTTCAGTTCGGATTTAACTAATTCACCGCTATTTAAAATTTTGATAAAACTTGGTAAGAATCCAAAATATGTTAGTAACATGTCACCTGGTACTGATTGACCCGTGTAAAACTAAAATAAAATTGGTGATCTAAAAAAATTGATCAAAATTTTATATATTTTAAAATGAGTACATGAAATTGAATAGTATATTTGATTTGTGATTCTTTGTACTATGTTGTCTGATAAAAAAAAGAGAAAGGCGATAGAGAACACCAAAATATTTTACTCGTTTTCAGTATTATTCAATTTTTATTATTGATAATTTATTACTGGTTTTATTTTTAATTTAGACTTAATTTTTTTTTATGATCGCTATTATTTACTTGGTAGAAATCATGATGTAGAAGGAATATGTTAGATATGGTTTTATGTATATTAAAAATAGGTTGACATAATCATTTCGAGCTTTTACATTTAAAAAACATTTTATGCATAAAATTTGAATTAGTTAACAACAAACACACACACACACACACACATATATATATATTGAAAGAATCATAATTTGGTGTATTTGTTTGATTTTAATTGTAACAAAAAATTTAAGAAGTTTAATTATAAAAACTTCATTTTATGATGTGAAATATTTATTGTTACTTGATAAACAAAGATTCACTTTCTAAAATAAATACTTCAAATAAGAATATATGCTTTCAATCAAAGATGCATTTAATAACAAATAATATATGTTAGGTTAATTAATAGGGAGGAAAATAGTGTTCCTAAATTATAACTACATCTAATAAATTAAATATTAAATATATTTATTTCAATAGCACAATCCTAGTTTAAGACAGTCGAGTTTGGCACATATATATATGTTTCCAATATATCAGGCTAGATTTTGACCCGCATTTTGAAAGTGCGAGATTGTTTTCTATTAATAATACTATTAATCCGTTTGTTAGTTCATAATAGAAATGAAAAATCAATTTCTTCAAGCCGTTTGTATTTTGATAAATATTTTTTGACCTGTAGAAATTGAACACATTAAAAAAAGTTTAACTTATTCCAGTATATATGACAAATGAATTTTTTTCCGTAAACTATATAACAAATGAAAATTTTGATCCTTATATATATTAAACTTAAGTTATATTCACAGTAGAGAACATAATATGACTCATATATATAGTAAAGGAAGTTTAATATATAAAAATAAAAGTATATGCCAAAACAGATGGGAAACAATGAGAATTTAGTTTTTTTTTAATATATAAATAAAGTAATATTGATTAAATACAACTATAGTTAGATATGATAGGCAAAAATATTAATTTGAAATGTATAAACCAAACAATATTTTCTTTCTATTTATTTTAATTTCAAATTAAAAGATAATACTCATTTAGATAAATATGAAAACAGTTAAGTTTTGTTATTATTTTGAAATCTCCGCATAATCCAAGTTATATTCATTTTATTAGATTATATCCTTAACATCACCATTTTTTATTCTTATATGATTAACATTTGTTTTCATATTGGTTTGGATGCAAATCTCTTCGCAATGAAGAAGATAATTGAAAAGAGGAGAAATATTTTAAATGATGCTATTACGAAGTATTCTTAATAAGTTATATAGTTGAAGAGTTTATCTCACATATTAATTTATTTGTTATATTCTAACAAATATATACTCTTAAATTAGTTAGTTCTTTATAATATTTTCTTACAAAATATTTTTTAAAAGGTTATAATAATTTAAGTTCTAGGTATTTTATTTTACATATTTATTGTATAAATAAAACGAAAATTCTATTTTTTTTTTGATGAACTACTATGAACTATATTTCAATTTAAATTTTATGATGCGCTATATATATCTTTTTATCTTACACATTTGTTTGTTATAAAACGAAAGTCCTACTCCATTACATTACATTTACTTGAAAGATAAGTTATTAGCATAAATGGTGTACATATATAATGTTTGGTTCATGATTTTATAATCTGTTATATAACAGCAAATTACTATTTAACATTAAGTACTTTTGTATTTGATTAAAAATAATTTTTATATCATTAGGAATAGTTAATTTTTACCATATAGTCAAAAGAAAATTATAAATAAAAATTGCAAATATATTAAGGTAATTAATAAACATGATATTTCTATAATTATCACCATAATTGGCGACATTTAGGAATATTGATTTTGTAGTTTTTATTAATCTATTTAGGATTTGCCAAAGTTGTTGTTTATCTTCCATTAGTGAAGACACATGGTATAGATCTAACAAAGGAGATTATTTAAATCTATTTCAAACCAAATGAATTCATGAGACTCACCAAAGTTGTTGTTTATCTTCCATTAGTGAAGACACGTTTGTATATGCCAATTGTTCTTGAATGAATTCATGAGTCTTTTTTTCTTTGCTTTGAGTATTTTTATATGGCCATGAGTAACAAAGGATATTATTATTTTGTATTTAATAGGTAGATTTTGTGGAGGGAATCACGTTTAGGATCAATTTTATTTGTGTAGATAAGTAAATTAGTTATGATCAATGAGAATATTCCCTTTTTAAACTTTAAAATTGTTTGAAATATTATTAGAGTTTATTGGATAAGAAAGGTGATAATGTGAGTGAATCACATAATTAGGCTTTTTGGAAGATACGTGAGTTATTAGAATGCCGATATAAGTGGGAGTAAATATAGGTTTTGTTAAGATTGGATTTTGTCAACTAATATGTTTCGATTTAATAACTATTTTTATTATTTAGATTTTGGTTTTGAAAAGATAACTCCGGTTTAGTAGATTTTGGTTATTCGAAAGACAATTAATTTAGAACGTCGAAACCAAACTATCGTCTTCTTCATCAATTGAAATTTTTCACTAAACAGAAATTTCAGGCGCCTTAATGTCTTATGAAACTTATGTATAATCAATATATTTGTTGCTGCAGTTTGATGATAATTGCAAATACTTTTTAAAATTATGAAGCTCTGTCTTTTGTTGTTTCA